AACGTACGCTCTTGCAGTCTACGCGGCGCAATCTACGTGGTGCAATAGATTTGGTGCAACCTATGTAATGCAATCTACGCGGTGCAATATATGCGGTTCAATTGGTTTTTACCCATGGTTTGACACATCCCATGCCCTTGCAAACACCCCACCCACCCACCCGCAACTTTGTTTGCAAAACCTCTTAAGAGCGTGACGGTAGGTACCAAATGGCACTTGGCAACGACACCGACGCCGACGACGACAGCGACGTCGACGACGACGACGACGACGCCGACGACGACGACTACGACGACACCGACGACGTCTCCGACGACTTCGACGACGACAACGACAACGACGACGACGACGACACCGACGACGACGACGACGACAATGACGACGCTGCCGACGACGACGACGACGCCGACGACGCCGACGACGACGACGACGTCGACGACGACGCCGACGACGACGACGACGACGACGCGGAGGACGACGGCGGCGACGACGACGACGCCGACGTCGACGACGACGAAGTCGACGACGAAGCCGACGACGACGCCGACGCCGACGCCGACGCCGACGACGACGACGACGACGACGCCGCCAACGAAGACGACGACGACGAGGGAGGAGGAGGAAGGACGACCACGGCGACAACGACGACGGAAACGACCACGACGCCAAAGAGGACGACGACGACGACGACGAGGAAAGATACGGAGACTTCTTCTATACACCACCACCGCGCCCAGGAAAAATATCCGCTGATCAAATCAACGTTTCTTTTGGCGGCGCTGTGGCCCGCACGCCCGTGACAGAATTTCGCAATCCGTGCTGCGCTCTTGTTGGATGCGGCTCTGTGGAATCAAAACCGACATGGCCCCGAACGGCAACCAATCATTACACGCGCTGGCCGCATTGAGGCGATCGTGAGGCCCTAATGGCGTTGGCGCGAAAACTGCCGCGTTCGTTCGATGGCGGCCCTTTCGTAATTACTGGGCCGCCGCCCGAAGGCACAGTAAACTAAGACGGAGTTGTGGTGTTCGTTAATGCAGTTTGGCGCGTTGCGCAGGCAACTGCCACGTAATGCGAGATGCGCATTGGGACGCATGGGTGGGCCAAGTTGCTCCCTGACGACGGCGCGCGCGCATCGACGCGGCCTTCGAACGTGAAGTTCGTATTCACGTGGGCAATCTATCACACGTCGCCCAAATGAGCATTGCGATGGACAGTTTCGCCTTGGGGCCGTGCTGTGGCAACAGTGGGCTTGTCGGTCGCCGCGCGCGCCTGTTCGTCCCGCAGGCGGCCGCCGCCGCCATATATACACTGTCAGACGAAGGACCTTGCTCGAGGTCGAATCCGTCATATGTCCTGGTTGCGCGCCTGTGTCGCATATGTTGAACGCGCCTGGTGCAGGCGGGAAGTTGGGCCCACGCTGCAATTCGTTGTCGCGTGGCCGCAAGTCCACGGGACAACAGGTGACGTTTGGTGCGGTTGCTTTGTGGCGCGCTGGGACGTAGAATTCCACGCCCAAGCGTTTAACTGCGCTCCCTGGGCGCTACCGTCGCATAATCCCGCCACAGCACCGCTGTGGGGGAACCCCAATAGCCAAAAAATGTTGGAGGGCGAAGGAGCACTGCGAAGCGGAAGGGGGGCGGGCGTCGAGAGAACGAACGAGCATAAGGGCGAGGAGGAAGAGGAGGAGGAAGGGAGGAAGGGAGGGGGGAGGGAGGGAGGGGGAGGAGGGGAGGGAAGGCTTGGATGACGACGACGACGAGGATACGGAAGCCGAGGGAGGGGGGAACGGCCAGATACCGAAACTGTCAGTGCCAAGTGGTGCCCTGCCAGGCAGCGCACGCCATCGCGGCTGGGATTTCTCAAGCCGAGTCGATCTGCAAAGGCCCTCTGGCCCGACGGAAACTCGAGAGGGGGGGGGCCAACGAGTCGCCTGGCAATCTCGCCCGCTGAGAAGGACGTCCGGCGCCAGCTGCCTGGCACTTTCGCCCCCCCCCCCACATGCGCGACGCACCGACGTCGTGACCATCGGATCGTCCCTCCAAGGCTAACGCGGTCGAGGGACCCACGTTGCTCCCCCATGCACACGGCGACGACGACGACGGCGGCGACGACGACGACGACGACGTCGACAACGACTGACGGCTGACGACTGACGGGCGACGGATGACGACCACGACGACGACGACGGACGACGGCGACGACGACGACGGACGACGACGACGACGAAGACGACGACGACGACGACGGCGACGACGACGACGACGACGGCGGCGGTGGCGGCGGCGACGACGACGACGACGGACGACGATGTTGGGCGACGACGACGGCGGCGACGACGACGACGACGACGACGGCGGCGGCGGCGGCGACGACGACGACGACGACGGCGACGACGATGATGGACGACGACGACGACGACGGCGGCGGCGGCGACGACGACGAATACGACGACAACGACGACGACGACGACGACGACGACGACGACCTCCGGCGGGGTGGCCCCAGGGCGTCCCGCGGGAGGCGGGGTTACGGGGCGCAGCCGGCCACGCGCGCCAACCGACTGCCGAACGAGGTGTCACCCCCGTTTCTGCACGGGCTGCGAGCCTCCATCCCCCTGGCGGCCCCGCGGAAGTCCCACGGAGGTCCCGCGGAAGTCTCACAGAGGCCCCCGAACGCCCCTGGAGGCCTCGCGGAAGCCTCCTGGGGTTTCGGAAGCCTCCGTCGTCGGCCCCTGGAAGCCTCGCGGGGACCTCCTGGGGCCGACAGCCCCTGGAGGCGTCCCCGGCCCCTGGGGGCCTTCTCGCTGGCCCCTTGAGGCCACGTCGGCCCCTCGGGGCGGCGGCGGCGTCGTCGTCGTGGTCGTCCTGGTCGTTGTCGTGGTCGTGGTCGTGGTCGTCGTCGTCGTCGTCGCCTTCGTCGCCGTCGTCGTCGTCGTCGTCGTCGTCGTCGTCGCCTTCGTCGTCGTCGTCGTCGTCGTCGTCGTCCTCGCCGTCGTCGCCGTCGTCGCCGCAGCCGTCGTCGTCGCTGTCGTCGTAGTCTTCGTCGCCGCCGCCGCCGCCGCTGTCGTCGTCGTTGTTGTGCTTTGCAAGGCCCAAGAGTCTCGGGTTCTTTTTTGCTCCTCTGTTGTGCCTCCCAGGCCGCCCCCTCAAAAAAGGCGTCCTCTGCAGTGCGAGCGCGCAGAAGCCACGCCAAGCATTGGCGCCACAGACTCACGGGGCGGTGCCAACTCACCAGGGCTCAGCACATGCGCTGGAGGAAGGGACTCCGGCTCCCATCAGGACGCCATCGGCGCCAGGACCTCCTGGTCGAACACGCCTGCCATGGGGCACTCCCTCGGGTCGTAGCCCTCCAGGACGCAGTGCACCTTCCACAGCTCCTTGGTCAGTTCCCTCAAAGCGTGATTGTAGCCCCCATACTTCTGCCAGCTCCGTGACACAATCCCTGCTGGAGGCACGCGCCCCTGCCAGGCCTGACCGCGGAAGGAACGCCAGATGTACGACCCTGGAGGCTTGTACTTGTTCGCGTCCTTGTGATCGATCCCAATCGGCAGCGCTGTCGGCGCGACTGGTTCCGGCGGAGGGGCTTTTTTATCTGTTTTATCCTTCTTGTCTTTCTTATCTTTCTTCTCCTTCTTCGCAGCTTTTGCTTCGGCCTCCTCCCGCGCCTTGCGGCGAGACATCTGCACGACTGTGAACTCCCGCACAAGGTCGTCCTGCACGCCTTTCCTGGCCGCGTACTTCTTCTGCTCTTTGTGAAGCTTCTCGATGTCGTCATTCGTCAGCACTTTCTCCGCCTCCTCTATCTCCAGCAACTCGTCCAAGGCAACGGTGTCCTGCACCAGCGCCGCGACGCGCTTCTTCGCGATGCCCAACGCCTCGTCCTCGGAGCACTCCAAAATGCCCATGATAAGGGACACAATGACTTCAAGGAGGCTGGAGGCATGGCCCCTCACGGGGATCCCAAACATCTTCGCCAACCAAACAAGGAATGACAACTCCCAGTTCCAGAAGCACTCCCTCGCTGCAAGTGTTTTCAGCGGAATGTCCTCTGCGGCATCCACGATCATGCGGACGCCCTTGTGCCAGCCAGGAGGCGCCTTCTTCAAGTGGCGGCGCTGCCACGCCGGCGAGCGCCACTCGAACGGGCGCACGAGGAAGTCATCCAAGTCCACCATTGGCAGGAAGACGGGTTCTACGTTGTCGTTCGTCGGGTCAACGTACCAGAAGTCGTCGTGCCCAGGCACGGCCTTCAGCTGGATCTGCCACGCAATCGCCGCCGAATTCGGGAAATTACCGAGGCCCAAATACCATGTCGAACCCTCCGTTGGCGGATCCGTGTCCTTCCTCCTCAAGACGAACGGAAGGCAGTCCGACGCAGCGCTGCAGACAGCATTGCTGAGCTTCGAGAAACCGCCGAACTCTTTGCAGTAACGAACTAGATGCAGATCTCCAACTGGCGTCGCGAGATTGACGGCCTTCGGGGAGTAATACGGGGCTGCTGCATGTGTCGTTGCAATGCCACCCAAGTCCACGGATGGTTTCAAAGGTGTTTTCCCGAATGCCTCCGCGCTCAACCTCGCCTTTTTCCTGGAAGCAGGGACCCCGTCATCGACCTCCACGTACCTGTGCCTCTTCGATGGCAAGTGGTTCGCCAGTGCCATCCCCATGCTTCGCTCCGGTTTGCGGAAAACTTTCGAACCTTTCACTTGCTTGGCGTTCTTCGCATACCCGAAGAATTCCTCGCTGAAGTGCGTGGCGAACACCCCGTGGAACCGGTCGCTCAGCCAATCCCCGGACTCTTGGTCCAAGAGCCACTGCTTCTCCGTGAAGCAATCCACGTATTGTTCAACGTTTGCCCGCTTGAATTGGGAACGGG